TTATCGCACATCAGGTGCTGCTTTACAGCACTGTTGATGACACCTTCCATCACTTTAATAATAATCGAGAGTACACTGATGGGGCGAAAATTGGCCAGGTTGGATTTGTCCTGTTTTTTATGTACAGGACATACCTGGGTATTTTGTAAACTGTGCTGGAAGAGCTTGGTTAGGGGAGCAGCAAGTCTTTAGTACTATTGTCAGAATGCTGTTAGGGCCCATAGCCTTTACAGTATCTGATGCTTCCCACCATTTCTTGATATCATGTGGAATGAATCAAATTTGCTGAGGACTAATATCTGTAATGCTGGGGCCCACTGGAAAAAGCAGCGATGGATCATCCACTTGGATTTTATGGCTGAAGATTGCTGCACATACTTCAGCCTTATCTTTTGCATTAATGTGTTGAGCTCTTCCATCATTGAGGATGGGGATATTTGTGAACCTCCCTCCTCCAGTGAGTTATTTAATTGTCCAACACCATTTACGGCTGGGTGTGGCAGGACTGCAGAGCTTGCATCTGACCTGATGGTTGCGGGATAGCTTAGCTCTGTCTATCACTTGCTGACTTGGCATACTCATAGTTGGTTTGGTAGCTTTGCCAGATTGACACCTCACTTTCAGGTATGCCCAGTGCTGCTCATGGTGCACTCTCCATTGAACCAGGGTTGATCCCTTGGCTTGATGATAATGGTTGAGTGGGGAATATGCCAGGCCATTTGGTTGCAGATTGTGGCGGAGTACATTTCTGCTGCTGCTGATGGCCCACAGCATTTCATGGATGCTTCATTCTGAGTTGCTAGATCTGTTTGAAGTCTGTCCTACTTAACATGGTGGTAGTGCCACACAATATGATGGAGGCTATTCTCAATGTGAAGGTGGGTCATCGTCTCCAAAATGACTGTGTGGTGGTCACTCCTATCAATATTGCCATGGACAGATGCATCTACAGCCAACAAACTGGTAAGAATGAGGTCAAGTATGTTTTTCCCTCACCACCTGCCGCAGACCCAGTCGAGAAGCTATGTCCCTTAGGATCTTATAAGCTCAATCAGTAGTGCTACTGCTGAGCCACTCTTTGTGGTGGACATTGAAATCCCCCAGCCAGACTACATTTTATGCCCTTGCCACCCTCAGTGCTTCCTCCCAGTGTTGTTCAACATGGTGGAGTGCTCCCTTATCAGCAGAGGGAGAACAGAAGGTAGTAACCAGCAGGCGGTTTCCTTGCCCATGTTTAACCTGAAGTCATGAGACTTTATGGGCTCCCAGAGCAACTCCCTCTCAACTGTATGCCACTGTGCCACCACCTCTGCTGGTGGGCATATCCAAGGATGGTGATGGTGGTGTCTGGGACATTATCTGTTAGGAATGATTCTGTAAGTATGATTATGTCAGGCTGTTGCTTCATTTGCTGCCAGACCTGCTGAGCTTTTCCAGCAACTTTGTTTTTGTTGCTTGATTAATCTGTGAGACAACTCTCCCAATTTTGGCACTAACGCTCAGATGTTTGTAAGGAGGACTTTGCAGGGTTGATACGGCTGTTTCTGCCTGGTCTTTCCTAGTGCCTAATTGATACTAGGTGGTCCGTCCAGTTTCATTTCTTTGAAATTTCATAGCAATTGGTAAAACTGAGTGGCATACCAGGCCATTTCAGAGAGCATTTAAGAGTCAACTACCACACTGTAGGTGTAGAGTTACATGTAGGCCAGACCAGAGGAGGGTGGCAAATTTCCTTACCTGTTGGATATTCGTGAGCCAGATGGGTTTTTCTGACAATGGTTTTGTGGTCATCAATAGTTTCTTAATTCCAGATATTGTTTGTTTATTAAATTCAAATTCTACCAGCTGTCATGGAATTCAAATGCCAATCCCCAGAACATTAGCTGAATTTCTGGATTAAGAGTCTAGCAATAATACCAATAAGCCGGCACCTCCCCTACAATATTGCCCTAACATTGGGACAAATAGAAGGTTCCTCACACCACCTCCCCTAACCTAGTAAGAAGGTCACCCTGGTTTCCCACTCAGAGAACTAGCCAACTTCTCATGCACTGGGAAGGCAGGTAATCAAGGAAATGGGAAATGTGGAGGCCCTTGAAAAACTTTTCATTTCAGGTTGCGGTTTCCCAAAGACCTTCTTGCTCAGAACTTAATTTCCAAAAGGTAGTGAGAAGAGAACGTGTAGCCCTTCGGGACCGTCTCATGGAATTATTTCCCCTTGTTACTACCTTCAATGAGGGGTGAATCATACCCAAAAACTTTGGATACAATGTACAAGAGATTTAGAAGAATGGTTCCAGGAACAATAGGTACATTACCTGGATACACTGGAGCTCCTGAGATTGATTTCCTTAGAGTGGAGAAGACACAAAAGTGATTGGTTAGAGGTGTTCAATATCAAAGGGTATCATACAGTAAATAAAGAGAAATTGTATCCAATGGCTGTAGGGTCTGTAACCAAAAGAGTTAAGTTGTTTGGTTCTTTTGCCAGAGATAATATGAAAAATTGTTTTATTCAATAAATGTTAAAGATTTGGAATGTACTATCTGATAGGGTAGTGGATACAGAGGTAATGGTAGCTTGTAAAAGGGAAAGGCATAGATGTTAGGAGAAAAAAAAAGGAGGGCTATTGGGAAAGATCAAGTAGAGACAACAAGACCATTTTGTGAAAGTGTTCCTACAGACTTAGTGGCCCAATGGACATCTGTCCATATTGTAGTTTGGAAACAGAAAAGTAATGTCAGGAATTCTGTCGAGAAGATTCACAGAAATAGATTTTAAAGGACACGTTAATAAGGTAAAGGAGTTTAGAGTGGGATTTCAATGATGTAGAACCCAACAGCACTACCCCGACATTGGTTGCAGAGTTAAAGGGTACACAGGTTACGCACAAGGCCAGACATGGAGCAACTCAGTTCTTGAAAGACTGGAGAAAGTTCGCAATAGGGAGAGGGAAGGCATGAAAGGATTTGAAAACAAGATTGTAAACTTTTGAATTTGAGCCATGAGGGGACCAGAGACTAAATGAAGATTAATAAACATATGATAGGATATAGGTAGAATTTTAGATTTGCTGAAGTTTATGAAAGGTGTAAGATAGGAGACCAACCTGAAAAACATCTAAATAATCAAGTCAAAGATTGACGTTGGCATAGATGAGGACCTCAGCAGGAAGTGAGCAGAGATGGATGATATTATGGAAACAAAAGTAGACAGTCAACAGAGCAGGGTAGATGGTGGTGGGTGGGGTCAAATAAAAAACAAACCTGAAGTTTAAAAGACTTGTTTGGTTATATGTCCAAGAGTTTGATCTGGGTCTGGATACAGAAAGTAAAGGAGTTTGAAGGAGAGTAGGTGGTTGTGGTTGATATGTAATACAAGGAAGTCAGAACTTTTGATCAAAATCATGTGGGTAGAGGTCACATGAAAGAGCAAGACCAAGAGAGGTCCTTCTTTAGAAGGTCAATCTTTAAAAGTCCCAACATAAGTGTAGTCATTCACAATAAGGTCATGGATGTCAAAGGCCTCATCACCAATGAAAGTATGTCTAATTAAAATTAGACATCATATGGATAATAGAACTCTTAATTCAGTCCAAATATAGCATGAAAGCAGCTATTAGGGAAGCCTGGAAAGCTCTCCAAGCCAATTCTGTAGGTGTGAAACAGCCAGCTTGGACAAAACCTTGTATTATTCTGTGAACTTCCACATCTTTTATTTTTTTTTAAAAATACTAGACAGGTGGACAAATGATCAAAACCACCCCTAATATAGAAGAATTATTTGTGGATGGTTACTTTATAAAACATCTCAAACCTGCATTCCTGCTAAAATTAAGAAAGGTGAAATGTTGGCTGGTAGTGTACCTTGGGGAAGATTTTACTTCCAGCAATTGCTGGAAGAATTGATATTTAAAATACATATTAAAGCCAAATCAAAATTCATGAGAATTTTATTTCTTAAAAGGGACCACAGTAATCACTCATCTAAGTGTGAATGATGAATATTGCACCCAAATGAAACACAGATGATCTATCATAAATGTAATCAGTTCTTTAATCAAAGAGGTCAGTAAGATGATCACATTACAAAAAGAAACATCCAAGACTGTCTGATTTGCAATCTTAAAGCATTACAAACTTCCAGGAGAAAAAAAAAGTCATTGCTCATTTTATCAGCATATTGCATTTGATAATGCACTATACCGATTGCTATGCTGTTCATTTCAGTGGTGCCTACACTGCATCATTAAGAAACTATATTCATCTTGCACTTAAGAATTATTTACTAATGAATAGGACAATCTGTCTTTGTAACTACTGCTGTCACTGCACATTTCAAAATGATTGTAGCATAATAATTTAATAAAACTAACAAAAAATATGGCTTTAATTCAATAATGATTGATTACACTGCAGTTAAGTCAGCACCTTGAAGGGGAAGACTGGAAAATGCTTCAGGAAGAATACACTTAGAGTCTGGTATGACTCTTCAGAGCAATTCTGAAGAGGAGTCACACCAGATTCAAAAAAATGTTAACTGTTTCTCTCTTGATGTGGAGGTGCTGGCGTTGGACTGGGTAGACATAGTCAGAAATCATATGACACCAGATTATAGTCCAACAGGTTTATTTGAAAACACAAGCTTTCGGAGCCTAACTCCTAACACTTGAAGCAGGAGCGAGGCTCCGAAAAAGTTTGCGTTTTCGAATAAATCTGTTGGACTATAACCTGCAGTCGTGTGATTTTGGACCTTGTTTCTCTCTCCACAGATGCTGCCAGACCTGCTGAGATTCTCCAGTATTTTGTTTGTTTCAGATTTCCAGCATCCACAATATTGTGCCTTTGTTACTGCCTTGAGATTAAATGTGTATTTTCAGCTTCATTGATCTCTGCCTTCATCCACCTGTGTCACATTCTAGAAGAATTCTCAATGTTTCCAAGAATTTCAGTCCTTTTTAAAGCATTACTTCAAGCAAATCAGTTTTTAAATGTCTAGATTTACAATAAGTAACTTTATTAGTAGAACATCTGCCAGTAGCTTCAGAGACTTTCATTTTGTTACAAATACTTCAGTTCACACAAATCAAATTTTTGATAAGTATTAGAGAGGGACTTGACAAGAAATCCCACTCTTGGTACAAGCTTCACTAGAGGAAATCAAATCTGGGCATATCACAAGCTCCATTCCAAGAAGCACTGCACTGCAATCCGTCAATGCTTATATGTCAGTTTCACAGCCTCATAAATGATCTTCTTATTCCAAAATAACAGTAGGTGACTTCCAAATAAAATGTCATGAACAAAGATCTCAATGTTTTCGTACAGTTATTGAGCAGCTATTCATGGAAAGTGCAAGTGCAGCTTGTGCATGAATGATTTGGACCTTACAGTATATAAAGTTTATTTGCTCAAGTTCCCTTGTAACCAAATGTTAACTAGTTACTTCTCGGACCCTATCCTTCTAAACTTTGGACTGTGAACAAATTAAATTATCCTCGCCAAAAACGAGCAGATGGTAGGGAACGTTCCCATACTTTTGAAAATTGTGCCTACAGGGTTTTTTTTTTTTTTTTTTTTTTTTTTTTAAAAAAAGGGTATTTTCAACATTCCAATGCTGTCAAAAGAAAATTATATGAAATAAAACAAACAAAACCACATTCATTTTTTTTTTTAAATTGTAAAATATCAAGTACATCCCAGATTGTTCATCAGTTTATGTTCTTGTTTTCATGTCCCGTGATGTTTAGCATTCATTTGAAGTCACTTTCAGGAGGCTGACTGCAGAGCAATGGTGCTCTGATTCCAAGCTCGTTTGAGGATCCGGTATTCTAGGCATTGTACGGTTGGTGGATAGGAATGGAGTTCGAATTTATTGGCAAACATGCAGTTCATTTTATCCAGCCACTTCAAATCCCCAATCCCATAGATACAAATGTTTCTGATATAATGACCTGCAAGACACAAGAAGTCCGCCATAAACTTCAGTCAGACCATAAATTACACAACAACTTTAGAAAGCCCTTTATTACTCAGTTGTGCCATATCTCAATATCAAGTCCAGGTTCTTACAGTTATGAAATCAGAGTCATACAACATGGAAACAGACCCTTTGGTCTAACTCAACCATGCCGACCAAGTTTCCCCAAACTGAACTAGTCCTACTTGCCTGGGTTTGGCCGATATCCCTCTAAACCTTTCCTCTTCACACATTGTCAAAATGTCTTTTCAATGTTGTAACCGTAACTGCATCTACCATTTCCTCTGGCATTTCATTCAGTTTACAAACCACCCTCTGCATGAATAAGTTGCCCCTCAGATCCCTTTTAAATCTTTCTCCTCTCACCTTAAAAATATGCCTCCTAGTTTTGAACTCCCCCACTTTAGCGAAAGACTTTTGCTATTCATCTGATATAGGCCTCTTATGATTTTATAAACCTCTAAAAAGGCCACCCCTCAACCTCCTACGCCCCAGTGAAAAAAGTCCCAGCCTCTCCTCATAACTCAAATCCTCCAGTTCTGGTAACATCCTGGTAAATCTTTTCTGAACCCTCTTCAATTTAATAGTATCCTTCCTATAGCAGGGCAACTAGATCTGTACACATTACTCCAAAAGTGGGTGGTCGACAGATGCTGCCAGACCTGCTGAGCTTTTCCAGCAACTTATGATTTTACTCAAAAGTGGCCTCACCAATGTCCTGCACAACTGCAAAATGACATCCTAAGTCCTATACTCAATGGTCTGAGCAATGAAGGCAAACATGCTAAACACCGTCTTTACCACCCTGTCTACTAATGATGCCACTTTTAAGAAACTGTGTACCTGAACCACTAGGTCTTTGCACAACACTCGCCAAGGCCCTGTGTAATTCCTGCCCTCGTTAGTCTTACCAAAATGCAACACTTTGCATTTATCTAAATTAAACTCCATCTGTTACTCCCTGGTCCATTGACCCAATTGATGAAGATCCCTTTGTAATCTTAGATAACATTTTTTCACTGCCGACTATACCACCAGTTCAGCACCTGTTACTTATAATTCTTAAGGATCATTTATTACATTTCTACCCTTAAAACAAAATATATACATACAAACATATTCAACATTCTGAAAAATAAAAATAAATGCTTGGTCGTACAGACCTTAAAAACACTGCTAAAAGACAACAAGAAGTTGAAGCATTTTTTAAAAAAATCTTGCACACATCAGAACTTGGAAACACGAGACTTGGGAAAAAAGAAGAGACTATTTTACAGCGAGAGAAGAGAATGCAATTGGCTGGAGATGGTAGCAAGCGCAGTTAACTAAATCTTAAATCACAGCCCAGAGAAGTAAATTCTGATTGGTCAGTATGTTGCCATGTGGATGCAATAGAAATTGGCCTTCTCCAACAAAGCTACTCCAGTGACCTCAGGCTGGGCAGAATATTTTCTTTGAATTTATCAGTGGTTTTTTGTCTTAAAATCTCTCAACAAACAAGAAAAATACTTCTACAAGAGGAACCTGGATTAGTGCAACCTGGATTCAATTTAGAAACTGGAAAGTTTTCATTGAGTCAGAGTTATACAGCGCAGAAAAAGACCCTTTGGTCCAACTTGTCCATGCCAACCAAATATCCTATATAAATCTAGCCCCATTTGCCAGCTTTGACCCATATCCCTCTAAACCCTTCCTACTCACATACCCATTCAGATGCCTTTTAAATGTTGTAATTATTTTAGCCTCCACCACTTCCTCTAGTAGCTCATTCCACACACCACCCTCTACATGAAAAAGTAGTCCCTCATGTCCCTCTTATATCTTTCCACTCTCACCTTAAAGCTCTGCCTTCTAGTTTCAGACTTCCCCAGGGTGAGGAAAAGACCTTGTCTATTTACCCTATCCATGCCCTATCCATTATGATTTTAGAAACCTCTATAAAAGGTCACGCCTCAGCCTCTGAAGCTCCAGGGAAAATAGCCCTAGTCTATTCAGCCTCTCCCTATAGCTCAAACTCTCCAAACTTGGCAACATTCTCGTAAATCTTTTCTGAACCCTTTCAAGTTTCATAACATCCTTCCTATAGCAGGGAGACCAGAACTGCATGCAATACTCCAAAAGTGGCCCAAACAATGTCCTATACAGCCACAACATGACCTCCTAACTTCCATACTCAGTGCACTGACCAATGAAGCCAAGCATACCAGATGAAGCCCAACGCAAGCTGGGGGAACAACACCTCATTTTCCACTTGGGACCCTACAGCCCTCCAGACTCAATATGGAGTTCAATAATTCTAGGGCCTAAACTCTCCCATGTCCCAGCCCCTCACCCCACACACCAGGCCTTGTTACCACATAGCCTGCCACTACACACCCACTGTTGTTAGTCACTAACAGTCCCCATTAACAACTACTCACTCTCCCAGCATGATCGTTAGCAACTCCTTTGTCTGTCCAACTGTCTCTCTCTCTCTTTCTTTAGGCTCTATCCTATCGTTTACTCCCTAGCCCACCCACCTCCCTATTCTCTGCATATAAACTGACATTTTCCCAGCCACCATCGGTTCTGAGGAAGGGTCACCAGACCCAAAACGTTAACTGTTTTCTACTCCACAGATGCTGCCAGACCTGAGCTTTTCCAGAAACTTTGTTTTTGTTCCTGCTTTACCTCACTATCCTATCTACCTGCGATTCCACTTTCAAGGAGCTATGAACCAGCACTGCAATGTCTATTTGTTCAGCAACACTCCCCAGGGCCTTACCATTAAGTGTATAAGCCCTGCCCTGATCTGCCTTTCCAAAATGCAGCACCTCACAGTTATCTAAATTAAACTCCATCTGCCACTCCTCCACCCATTGGCCCATCTGATCAAGATCCCATTGTATTCGGAGGTAACCTTCTTTGCTGTCCACTATACATCCAATTTTAGTGTCATCTGCAAACTTACTAACTATACCCTTATGTTCACATCCAAATCATTTATATAAAGGACGAAAGGCAGTGGACCCAGCACCGAGCCCTGTGGCACACCGCTGGTCACATGACTCCAATCTGAAAAACAATCCTCCATCATCATCCGGTCTTTTACCTTTCAGCCAGTTCTGTATCCAAGTAGCTAGTTCTCCCTGTATTCCACGTGATCTAACCTTACTAACCAGTTTATCATGAGGAACGTTGTTGAATGCCTTACTGAAGTCCACTTAGATCACATCCACCACTCTGCCCTCATCTATCCCCCTCGTTACTTCTTCAAACAAAAAAACTCAGTCAAGTTAGCAAGATACGATTTCCCATGCACAAAGCCATGTTGACTATCCCTAATCAGTCCTTGCCTTTCTAAATGCATGTAAATCCAGTCCCTCAGGATTTCCTCCAACAACTTGCCCCCCACCGATGTCAGGCTCACCAGTCTATAGTTCCATGGCTTTCTTCAATCGTGGCACAACGTTAGCCAACCTCCAGTCTTCTGGCACCTCACCTACATTCCAATGCTAAACCATACTCAGTGGTTTGTTCAGTGAGAAAGAAACAGCAATTGTCAGGTGTGTCTTAAAGGAACCCTTCATTATTCTAAAGTATGCATGCATACAGCTTTTTATCATAGTAGGATAGCCAAACTTATACGAGAGCTGCTATGCGTTTGATTTTAAAGTACTTACAGATGGCAGAATCAAAGTTTTTCTCCACATTGTTCCCACAAGACCAAAATGCAAATATAAAAATTGACATATGCATTGTTACTTCAAATGGTCTCAATTCACAAATCATTGCTATCCTTATAACCAGCACAAAGGATGGGCGTGGAGGGCTGAAGGCATATTTGAAACCCAAAATGTAGTCAGTGGGTCAGATTCTTACTTTTTATGTAAATTGAGGGAAGAAATTTGACTGTGCATCTGCAAACAGCACACTGTGCCCACAACAAACATGCATGACGAGATGGAGTCAAACAAGGCCCAGTATAGAAATAAAGTTGAGAAGGCAGGAGCTATACAAGTTCATTGCAGAATGGGGCAAGGGCAACACCCAGATTTAATAATGACTCACTGGAATCAGGAAGAGAAAGAAAATATTTTTCTCCAGCGACATGACGACAACTGTGAAAATGTGTCATTGGGAGAGGCTAAAGGAGAACAACAAAAACATTAGTCACTGGTTGAGTTCAGTGAAAGAATTGGTTTTATAGCTTCACAAGACCAGGTCAAGTGTGATTAGATTGCTTATTTGCCTTGATCCGACATGTAAATTCCACTCGCCTTTCCCTCCGCCGTCCTCATCAAGCATGCTCCATAATATCAATTCTTACACCCATGTAAATTAAGTAACCTCCACCTTTTAATTCTTGTGTAATTCCTTACCACGTTACATACTCCCACTCAGCTGACAGTCACCTGACCCTTAACCTACAAAACACACTTGTCTCTGACTTCCACCAAATGCAATGCATCTACTGGGTGGATGCTTGGCCCTCTGTTACTCTGATTTTTTTTCCTTTTACTCTTGCCAGGAGAAATAAGTGCAAAACAAGGATGGAGGGTGATGACTGGAGGCAGACCACAAATAGTCCAGTGCACTGGTGCAGCACAGCTACTCTTGGAGAGAAGTGGCAAATCTGTGGCTCTCTCAATTTCAGGCAAAAAGACAGGAAATTCGCAGATTGAAGGGGACTTGAAAATATTTGACAGTTGTGTTGGCTTAATTTGGTCAATGGAAGAATGATTGATAGAGTGGGGTGATCATTAAAATAATAACTTTGTTATGACAGTTCAGTTATTTTTGCCTTCTAGAACCTGCAATCAGCAAAGGAGAGAGGAGATGCACAGGATTGTTGGGGCGATGGGGGATGGGGGTGGAGAGGAAAATAAAACAAAAATCGGATGGCTGTTAGTGGTTTTCCTGGGTTTTCAAATTGTAGCTACAATAACAAGCTGAACCACACCTACCTGAGGATATTTCTGGCAGTAATACATG